TCCCCCCCGCCCCCCTTCCACGAGCCATTGCTCGCGGCAATTATCATATCTGTGTACCAACAGGTATGAAATCACTCGAGTCCACGCGATCTCAATTATATACCCTCCATGGCACGAAAGCCCCGCGTACTCTTTCGCCGAATGGGCAGTACAATAGAAAAGTGACGCTTCGCGAGGGAGAAATCGTTTCTCGATCTTCTCTCGCGGTGAGCAACCGATCGAGCTGTGTCGAAATGCTTCACTCGTTATGTATTATATGTATACCTGCACGAATTCATTACCCTTACATATAACAAGTACAACGATGTGATACGTGCCGATTTTAACTTGTCCAACTTGTCTAATGTTAACATGTTAATATCCCACTTTTTCTCTTCTTGACATACATAATACATACAAAAGGCCCAAGATCCCGAAAGTGAAATAGACGAGACAATTAAATCTTCGGATTGTACTCCTCCTCGTGAAACGAGTTTCTCTAATTTTTTCACAATGTATGTGACGCATAAACAAGTACACCAGAAACGCGTGACCAACGAAGATGTACGGAGGAGATTCGCCTTATGTAAAAGAGACGAAATAAGGAGGAAAAAGTTTTCGGACGACACAAAAGAAATTCAGATTCCAATCGGCACGTAAAGAAGAAGAAGAAGAAAAAAAAAAAAAAGAGAGGCGGAGAGGAAGCCTCCGTGACTATACACGATTTCCTCGTGCGTCACCTGTTGTCGTCGCCCGTCCACACGTAAATATGTGTACCATACCGATACACGGACACGCGAACAACGTATACATACAATACAGGTACAACATAACGGAACCTTTCGCTTCTGCCGCTGGTCTACACTGGCCGAGGCTTTTACGCGCGTACACCCATCGTACTATGGAGGCCGATGTCGCTGTCGTTTGCCGGTCAAGCGCCCGGAACGTGTTTTTGGCCCGAGTCCATCGGCTTCTTTTTTCTAATCGAGGTCGTCATCGTGCAAACGCTTCATTAATACGGTGGGCGGCCATGTGCTCTAGGGTACACACACGCGCGCACGGCAAGGGTGTATATATACATACGATGTATGTTAATCGCGACCCGGCCCGGTTAGGCTACACGCCTTAATAATCCTCCTCTTTCTTCTTTTCCCGTGTAAGTATACGCGTGTGTTGAGTGCTTTTCCTCGTTAACCAAAGACAAATCCTATCCTACATACCAGAGTGTACGTATATTGTATATGGGTGTACTCGTGAATTTATACTATCTGGCCACGATGGATCGGTATGTTGCGCGTACCGATTTCTCTCGTCAAATGGTATGTGCGCGCTCGTCATTTTCCATCGGGCCCTCTAATGGAAAAAGCTCCGTGTACGCCCATTCTCCCCCCGGGATCTCGAACTCTAGCAAAAATCCATCGGCGGTAATCCGTGTACGGCCCAACGAGCGGGTATATGTGTGGGAATTCAATTACGGAAGCTGTTCCCGATAACAAGCCGATATAATATATATACACACCCCCTGGGTGCACGCCAGGTTGCAAGAAGACAACATCCGATGCCTATATACAAACACCTGCATGGGCACTTACGCACGTCCAATTTGTTGAAAGAATAACAAGATAGACGTGTATACGCACATATATGTACGGGTAATAATATATAAGTATTGCAAGTGCCTATACATATACATGCGCGCATAAACGAAATAACTTGGGCGCGTCATGCGCACATCTCGCTTGTTACTTCTACACGCGGTGTACGACAGCTGAAACCGCTATACTTATTGATTAAATGTATATACGCGACGGGGGAAAAAAACTACGTATATCCAATGAACTCGGCAAAAAAGAACCGATTTTTACGCGCCTTGTGTGTGCGTATTTGAAAGAAATGTACGTTCAACGTGCCTATACAAGTATATACCGATAGTCCGAAAAAAAACAACACTGACCGGCAACGCGTTCGCTCTTTTTATACATCGTATCATAGCTGTACGGTATACCTAATAATAATCTCTTCTCACCCATACATGTTCCTGTATACACGTATAGTGTGTACACAAGAGTACAATATTGTGTGTAGGTATGCCTGTGCCTGTATATACATGTATACAAGCGAGTACACTTTTCGCACTGACCCAATTCCCGGGGCCGGCAGCGTGTCCTTGACCGCGAGGAGGTGAGGCCGGCGATGCCGGCACTCGTTTACGCGGACACACACACACACACACACACACATACCCCGGCAAAATTTCATTCGTATGGGTATCTTACACATATACCTACACTGTCCGAAGAACTGTTCAAAGATGGTAAGAGAAAGAGAAAGAGAGAAATTACACGGGGAGGGAAAAGTGGGAGGCGCGGAAAGAGCCTGTATGTATATATACGTTAGCGTATACCGTTACATCCGAGATCGGTATATATACCTATACTCTCTGTTCTTACACGTATAGTATATATATATATGTATGTATACCCACGCATGTATATAATATGTTTAATGTATGATACCACGATGAACCTGCCCGTGACTGCGTTGCTGTTATATGAGCCGAGCTTTCTTTTTATAATGTATACCATGTAATAAATTATATACTATACATATGACTTGTGCATGTGTGCATCGTGCCATACATACACGAGAATATTATATACTTGTATACATGTATAGGCTTTAACGTTTATATATATATATATGCGCATACGCGAACAAGGAGTGCGCAGGATAATAATGTGCGTTATGGGTTATTAATGAGCCCGGGGAGCTGATTGGGGTTTTAATTGATTGACTTGTCGGTCGAACAATTAATATAAATATAATCAGCAGCGCGAGAGAGAACTACGGAGGAATGCTGGCAAATGTACGGGACGATACGCGTGCCGAACTTGATTTTTGTTTTATTGCTCGACAAATTAGTTTTTTCTTTTTTTTTTTTTTTTTTTTTTTAATGTAAGCAATCACAGTTAGTTTTAAAAATGAGTCATTTGTTGCGTTTTCAAAGTGATGTACACAATTATATTTGTAACGAATCATTTTTAAAGGTATTAAGTAAAGTGCGAGTCAAGAGTCGATTTGTGCAACAATCAAATTGTGCACGTATTTTTATTAAAAACACATTAAATACTCTCTCGAGCCTCGGAGGATAAATTTGTTTAAAGAAATTCGAAAAAAGCAAAAAATACCCGTTAAAACCGAAACTTTGGCGTGTTTTAAGTAATAGGTGCCATTAAAACGTCAGAACCGATAAATACCGTAGTCATTAGTGAACGTCGAAAATACGTATATACGTTATACCCGTGCGCAAAAGCACCACCACCACCAACGGCGGCAGAAACAATGACCTATACAAAAAAGGTATACATATACCGATCAAGGAATTCCTCGCCAAGCATCACCGATCACCATACACCTATACGTATACACACAACCAAAGCGAACGATCTCTCGACGCACTCGTTAATTCCAAACAAGCGATCTGTAAAATATTGAATAGTGTATACTGTATATTGTATACACGTAATGTATATATACCCTTCTCGGCTCATTAAGTCGAACCAACGGAAAGAAATCCTCGCCGATCTTTAGCTCGCAAATTCCAGCCGCGTAAGGCCCGAATTCCTCGAGTTTGCGTGCAACATCAGGTATGCTAAAATAGGGGCGATGCATGCAAGTTACCGGTGTATTTATTTATTTGTTTCAATGGTTGATACGTAATTATACATATACATGGAATGTAAAAGAGCAGCGGCCAATCGTTTGAAACGAGCCAAATCGATCCAATAACCCTCGTATATATAGGGTATGTATTTGGCTTCATCTCATCAGATAGCGTAAATAGGAGTAAGGGTTAGAGCTTGTGCACTTGCAAGCTCAGCGAAACGGCGAGCCGTACAGGCAAGTAAGTACATACGATAATACACGCGGTTGGCCGCACTTGCTGATGGCCATTTGAATATAAACGCAGGAAGTGCAGGCTGATGATGCAGCCATCCGTGCGCCACGCGAGCCATTGTTCTCGGGCGCGCGCTCGCGTGCCCCTCCATTATGCAGCCTCATCGACACTTGCTCCTGCGCGGCTTCTTATAAGTATAATATATCCTCCTACTTTATTTTCACCAATACAGTGGTACACACACACGGAGACTATCTATCACCTGTATAATATATATAGAATGTACATGCATAACAGCCAAGGACTTGGACGCAATATGATGGCCTCGGCGCTCTTTCCCCCCTGATTTTTTTTTTCTTCTATTTTTTGTATCGATTATACACGTTTTGTCAAAGGAAAAAAAAGAAAACTTATAGGTGTGCTTTTGTATAAAATACAGTGGATGCAGGGGAGCCAAGCATCCTAACGCCTATTGTATACTATTTTCAAAGGAAGCTTACACTGCCATTACGTTTTCCGAGCCGTTTCCTATTGTCCATGCAGATTACTTATACCCGTTCGGGAATTCTCGAGCGTTCCCCTGCACGTACTGTTTCTATCTTTTTTTTTTTTTTTTTTTTTTGCAGTTTAAGGAGCTAATGTAAGCAAGGAATTGAATTATTCAATGCGCGCGAGTAACATTTCTCGCAAAAGCTCGCCGTCCCTCGGTATAATGGGTACATTCCCGCGGTTTCCAACCATCTTTATACGGATTCGTTAAAAAAACATACATACTCTTCCGTTTGTTCTTGATGCAACGTATTGGTATAATTCATCCTGAATAATGCACGGATCCACGCATCGATTACAGTATAGGTACCAAAATGGCCCAGCTGTAGATTTCATCGATAATTCAAAAAAAAAAAAAAAAAAAAAACATATATAATTAAACAGCAAGAGTATTTTTCATATCGGGCGACAGCATCGTTGTATCACCGATCGTGCGCACACCCAACGCACAATGCAACCTTCGAACGAATCAACGATCCGATCTCTGTGTGGTGTAACCCCCTACAGACTAGCCATCTGACTCTTTATAGGTACTTGTGTTTGAAATGAAAAAAAAAAAAAAAAAAAGACTCACCGCAAAAGGGCACTCCCTCGGGGTTCCATGTCCCGTCCTCCCGGCACTGTCGCCTGGCCGGCCCGAGTAGCTCGAAGCCCCGCTCGCAGGCGTAGGTGGCCACTGTGCCGGTTGGAAAGGGCGAGCTCGCCGGCCCGTCCTCCTCGTCCACGACGTCGTCCGCGCCGCCGTTAAAGCGCACCGAGCTGTGGGCCGGGGCGCCCGGGTAGCCGCACTCGCCGCTCGTCTGCGAAGCTGAAAAAAAAAAAAGGACATGCGTCAACTTTGTTGTACGTTCGTGTCTGGTTATATACATATATTATGGGTTAATCGTGCATACATGGCGCAGTGAAGTGCTCTTTGTTTGGTGGTCCAACCCACGTAATCTCGTCTTGGTACGTATATATAATTATACCTCGCAACGAAAAGGAAAAAAAAAAGGAATTACGTGTGTTTACATTTGCCGGAAAGAGCGGGGCACGCGCCTGCGAGGGATTTTAATTTTTCCAGGCCGGCAATTATTGTTACGTCCAACTCGCACGCGCATACATAGGTACATTATACATGGATATATATACCAGGTGCAGGGCTTTTGGATTTCTTCTCTCACTTGCCTGCACCGCCGCCAACCTCATCGTCCCGTATCCTTCGAGATTGAAGCGAGGAGAAGAAAAAAAAAAAATTTCGCCGTCACGTACCGGACCCACATCCATACGTATACATGCGCACGTGTAATGAATGCACGTATATATTTATATAAATGCGTGCACAGTATGTACATGGGTAACATACACGTAAGAAATGATTATTATGCAGTCGAGCGAGTACGTGCTCTCCGCGCACTCATCGCGGTGTAGAGTCCGCAGGTGCTGGCGTTGAAATCTCTGAGGCTGCAAACTATCGCGATGGAGATTCCCATGCTTGCACTTGTTCAATATGATGCTTCGCTATGCACGTATGAAAAATAGGTACCTGTATTTTTTTTTTATAAAACAATTTGTTTTTCTTCTGTTTACTCTAGTTTGTACTTCAAATTCTCTTTTGTAAAGCTCGTGAGCTTTAATTGTAGGCCCTCGACCTCCAAAAAAGCCTCTATATATACCTTTTGTTGTCCATTTTAAAATCTATTCTGTGATTCAAGAGAATATAATCATAAATTTTTCTTTGTTTTTTCTTTGGATGTTTTGTTTTTTTTTTTATTTGCGCCAACAGTAACGAATTTATTTCAAAAAAACGATGATTCCAGTATACACGCGATGATGCCCACTTTCGTCAAACGAGCGTATATGCAACAAAAAAATATATACGAGACCAATACTTATCGTGTCGACACTAACGAGCCGGGCGTACGTGTATACGCTGCAATCGAATCCGAGCAGTGTACGACTACGCCCCATTATCAAACCACACGCAACGACAATAAACTCGATGAAACGAACAAAAAAAAAAAAAAAAAAAAAAAAACACAATGAAAAGTGACGAAAGTGCACCGCGATGTGTATATATGCCTGCCTGCGTTTCTATACCGCAAATGATAATTCGAAAGAAACGCAGAAACGTCGTTCGCGTCGTTACGCCGATGTCCCCCACCCCCTTGAGGTAGTTATTGTATGCATATTACACCGGTTGTGGGTCCTATATGCGTAGCCGTTGTTGTGACACTAATTACGCATATACATGTGTTCGTATGTACATGAATACGCAAAAATATATCATCGTCTCTTGGGAAACTGTACGTGTAATATGCGCGCTACAAAACTCCTACGGGCGCGTGTGCGTTGTCTTCCGCTTTTGGGGTGACGAGAGGAAATGACAATGAGGCGTGACATGTCTACATACAAATATATGCACTTTTTTGACGACTGACGCGTGACTAAAAAAAAAAAAAAAAAAAAAAAAAAAAAAAAAAAAACCATTTTCCAAGAAACAAATAGACGCAGTAGCGATTTCTCAATAAGCGGACTACAGGTAAGTATTCACATACATATACAGAGGGTAACGTCGCGATCGCGTTGCGATAGGATTTCTTTTATACATATATATATGTGTACATGCTTTTCTCCGGCGTGTTTTCGCAAATGCGACTCTTCAAACGTGTACCTCCAACATAATTGTGCAGTGGGTATAACGTATAATACATGTACACCTAAAACGTATGGGGTATATAGCTCGTCTGCCCCTTTCGCCATCCCGCGAGCGCTTGCCTCTTTTCACGTATTTCCTAATTATCGAAATCCCCGCGTGGTATGTTTTGCAAAAACATAAACATATATACAAGCGCATCCTTTCGCGCCGCGTTTCCTCATTTTCTTCTCTCAAGGTGTAATTATTTATATCGGGAGTGCCTTTCGTGAGCAACACGAGTTTTATACTTACTTGGGTATACAAGTATTTAGGATGAATTTATCGAGTATCCTTAAACGCACGTTTTGTTTGTCCCCAGCGAAATTTAAATTCTTATGCACTGTGCCGATTTTTCATCGATTATTTGTATATACGTATGAAGCTTCAATTTTTCTCTCAAACTCGATCAGCGGGGACATAAAATTGCCGTGATTTTAATTTCGCGGACGCGCGTACCCATGAAACGAGAGTATATTTTCACCCAAAGATATATAAAGAAAGAAAAATTGAAGTGTCTTCTGGATACCGATCTCTCCAGTTAACGAAATTAAACATCATATAACGTGCACGTATACGTGGTTCGGTGAAACCTTGTTCTCAGCTACGTACCTCCCGATCTCTCTATATCAACGAGGTCTAAACCCCATAGAAATCCAAAGTCCAAATCACTAGCCCATTTATACATATACATGTAAGTACACGTAATGCACAGCTGCCGTTTCCGCCGGATAATTGGCAACGGCCGGACATCAATATTGCCCGCTGCTGCATGTGCACTTGGGTGGTGTATAAGTATACCTACATAATCATATCACACATGCACGTATACGCCCGCAGACAGATCCCTTTCGCTGATTCGCTCATAAATATACATATATACACGCTTATAAGGAGAAAACGCGCGCTCGCCCTGAGCATTAATACGAGCGTGGTATATATACTTTGTACTTGTGGGGAAATTTTCCGGGAGGATTTATATCAAAGTCCCGTTGCCACCTACGCGCTTGATGAATCGCTTTTTTTCCTCTCTCTCTCTTTCGTAAACGCTACAACCAACAGTAGATCGGTATGGGCAAGGTGTCGTCGCGTGTATCATCAATGGGTGGTTTCTCCCATTGTTTGTGGGCAATTGCCATTCGTCAAACACAATTACATGAATAATCATGGGTCTACGAGTTTGATTTTTTCTTCTCCCCACTTACTTATACCTATACTTACATGTTGTACCATTGGAAAATTGAAAATATAAGTTGTACATTTGCAAGGACAATTACTATTTGTCATACGATCAATCGGATTTTTTTTTTTTTTTTTTCAAGAAAACAAGAGAAAAATGTGCGCCCATCGACCCAAGAAGGAACAGAGTACCGGTATATAATACATGTTTATCTACAGCAATAACAATAACAATAACCAAATGGAGCGATCGCCATACAACTCCATAAATATATTACACGCAGATGCTCGATTGTGTATGCACTTCCAAGTATGGGTGGGTACAGGTATATATACTTGCAAACGACGAAGCTCGGAAATGACCGTATAAGCGACGATAATCGAAAATTCCTCGGGCACGGCCAAAGAGAGCCGCTTATGGGAATCGGCATGCGAGCGAAAGCTCCGCGATTGGAAACCGATTTCCAAGTTGCCTATACACTTGTTTGCCAACTCGCTCTGTGTACATATAGAGTATCGGGGTACGTGCTATCTATATGTGTATACCTTTTGTTTTACGTATACATTATCCCGCTCATCCACGGCTTCCGGATGGTATCTTTTTGACCCCATGATCGAGAAGCACGGCAAAGCTAAACCCAACGGTAAGTACACACGTGTTTAAATTTTAACGCGAAAAACACAGGCTCCAATGGTATCGGCGGGGCTCGAAGGGTAACATTAAATTAAACCACGACCTTTTTACCTCCCTTGGCCCCCTAACTCTATATTCAATATATAGGTATTCGTTCGATGTCCGCCCCAAAATAAGGCCCTCGCCGATTTTCCTCGCGAGCTTTATATCTTTTACCAAAAGAAGTAAGTCGGCACTTCTCTCTCTTGTTTTCTGTTCCGCGTTTCTCCCTAGCCGCGTAAATTCACTCGCACAATGGTGACAAGGAGAGGGAGGAGGAACGACGAATCAGCGTCCAAAGTAGGTTGCCAGGCCACTACCGTGCCGTACGTCCACACAGGCGCCGGGGGATGTTGGAAGAGAAGAACCCCTTGTTAAAGGACCCCGTTGCACGGCTGAAGGAATATAGCATACTTATGTATACATATACCGTTATTGTACAATTAGCTGGGTATAATTATTACATGGTAGGTATATCTTACGTATCATTTAGTTGCAGAAGGAAAAGAAGAATATAATCCGATCGGATGGGCTCGGGTGTGGGAAGCGCCGGGGGTTAGTTAACTGAAGCCTACTTGTGCGAACGCGCCACCTTTGTTTTTCAATTAGGTACACAATTACACATAGAGAGAAAGAGAGAACACAACGACGATGCACTTGATTGTACATGTATGATTTTCCCCGAGTCATAATTGTGCGCGCGTTAATATGTGAACGACGACGACGTGGTGGCACGAGGATGTAATTATAAAAAGGCCCGGGTGGCGGGGCGCCAAGTAGGTTGGGCCAGTCGTTGCGGCGGCTCTTATTATTTTTCTTTATTTTTCCTCTCCTCGCTCAAAGTGGATCAGTAGGTTTTCTATTCGCGTATTCTTTGCGCCACGAGGGAGGCCTCTCCGTCCAAGTTGTTGGAAGTGGATTATGACGCGCGATACGCACGTTGTCGTGACCATCAGTGTGCACGAGGAAAGGGCCATGAACTACTGCGTATGTAGATAAAACAGTACTGTGGCATATTGCGGATTGTACAAAAAATTAATATGCGAGGACACCCATAAAAGTGAAATCATTTCGCTTATATGTACGCAACGTGTCAAGTTCAACCGTGGAGATGTTAAATATATTTTCACAACTATATTGATTTGTCGTCGATCCGAGCGATAAATCGTGGATTTAGTACTTTCATCTCTGTTTCAAGAAAAAAATCTAAAACAAAAAAAAAAAAGATCAAGCACAATGAACGTTCGGGTATACGAGCGTCATACACATACCAATGAAATACAAACTGTAGTATAACCGCGTCGTACGAGTATAGATATGTATATATCGACGGCTCCGAAGAAAAAAAGCAGGAGATTTTAGCGTTTTTCAAAAACTAACCAAACTCGTTGCGTTCTGATCAAAACTAGCTATACTTGCTCCTTTTTGACCAAGACTATCAATATACACAGGTTTTTGAGAAAAACTAACAAAACTTGAGCCTTTTGATCAAAACTATCAACACTCGCTGCACTTCGACAAAGAGTAGCAAGAGTCACGAGTCCTCCAAGCAAGACTATCAAAACTCACTGCTTTTTCAAGAAAATCAACAACAATAGCTGCACCTCGATAAAGAATAGCAAGACTCCTCAATCCTACGAGCAAGACTATATTAATAACTCGTTACTTTTTCATAAAGATTAACAATACTCGGTGAGTTCAAATAAAAACTAAGAAGAGCCGCGACTCCTCCAATCAAAGCCATCATTACACTTTTATTAGGACCAGCTAAAATTAAATTAAATGTTCCCAATAACCCAGGGCGCTTACTGGCCACTCTTTTAAATAAATAATTATTAGTAAATAACACAAGCGCCTATCACCTAATGACCCGGGGCGCTTACTGGCAACTCTGTTAAATAAATAATTATTAAAATAACACAAGC